GACTGTGAGACTCCTATCTCCAATAAACCACCAGAAAACCGGAAGTGGCGCTGTAGCTCAAGTGGTAGAGCACTCGCCTTGAGCTGAAGAGCTGAGGTACAGTGCCTAGGCCCAGAGTTCAAGCCCCATGACCGACAAAAAAAAAAAAGAAATTCTTGATAACTGTCCTAAATCTGTACAAAGCAACCTAGGAACAGGAATAGGAAATACACAAGAAATGATACATGCCTCTCATTTTAGTCATACTGCCCTTTTGGAATATGCCTACTAGCCATTTCTCTCCTTGTGATTTTGGACAACTTGCTTATTGCTAGGTATCAGTCTTCTCCTCTGAGGAATGAGACAGTAATTGAACATGTTTGCTTGAAATATAAGTGAAAACATGTGTAATATTCTTGGAAGAAATATCTCCCAGGGGCTGGGAATGTGGCTCAGTGGTAGAGTGTTTGCCTTGCATGTCTGAGGCCCTGGGTTCGATTCCTTAGCACCACATAAACAGAAAAAAAGGCCAGAAGTGTCACTGTGGATCAAGTGGTAGTGTGCTAGCCTTGAGCTGAAGAGCTCAGGGACAGTACCCAGGCCTAGAGTTCAAGCCCCACAACTGACAAAAAAAAGAAAAGAAATATCCCCCAATAAGAGATGGATACTTTTAAAAAAGAGGAATATTGACCTTCCATGCATGTTAATTTGGATACTTTTTTTCAAATCACTGTATGTGAGGGTTAGGAACTTTGATTGTTTCTATTATGTGTTTATTCCCAAGGTATGTTAATGTTGCAATCATTTTTGAAGGTTTAATATAAAAATTAAAATTAAGTAATCACATTAATGAGAATTTTTGTTGGTGGTGGTAGTGGTTGTGAGGTTTGAACTCAAGGCCTGGACCTTGTCCCTGAGCTCTTTTGTTAAAGGCTAGTGTTCTACCACTTTGAGCCACAGCTCCACTTCCAATTTTTGAGTGGTTAATTGGAGATTAATTAATTGGAATCTCATGGGGACTTTTCTGCCCAAATTGGCTTCAAACCTCGATCCTCAGATCTCAGCCTCTTCAGTAGCTAAGATTAGAAGCATGAACAACAGGCACCCAGCAAGAATGAAATTCTTTTTTTTTTTTTTTTGGGTCCGGTTGTGGGGCCTGAACTCTGGGCCTGGGCGCTGTCCCTCAGCTCTTCAGCTCAAGGCTAGTGCTCTGCCACAGCGCCACTTCCGGCTTTCTTTTTGCTTATGTGGTGCTGAGGAATCGAACCCAGGGCCTCAGGCATGCAAGGCTAGTGCTCTGCCACAGCGCCACTTCCGGCTTTTTTCTTTTTGCTTATGTGGTGCTGAGGAATCGAACCCAGGGCCTCAGGCATGCAAGGCACGCGCTCTACCACTGAGCCATCTTCCCAGCCCCAAGAATGAAATTCTTTTTAAATTTATTATTAATAAGTTTTTAATTGTGAAAATATCATACAGAGGGGTTACAATTTCATGAGCAAGGTAATGAGTACATTTCTTATCAAGCATTGTTGCCTCCTCCTTTGTTTCCCTTACCATCACTCCTAACCGTCCCCACCACACCCTCCACCCCGCCCAAAGAATGAAATTCTTTTTTTTTGGGGGGGGGGGTCCAGTCATGGGGCCTGAACTCTGAGCCTGGGCATTGTCCCTCATCTCTTCAGCTCAAGGCTAGCGCTCTACCACTTGAGCCACAGCACCACTTCTGGCTTTTTTTTCTTTTTGCTAATGTGGTGCTGAGGAATCAAACCCAGGGCCTCAGGCATGCAAGGCAGGCACTCTAACACTGAGCCACCTTCCCAGCCCAGAATGAAATTCTTTTTTTTTTTGGTCGTGGGGCTTGAACTCTGGGCCTGGGCCTGGGCGCTGTCCCTCAGCTCTTCAGCTCAAGGCGAGCGCTCTACCACTTGAGCTACAGTGCCACTTCCAGTTTTCTGGTGGTTTATTGGAGATAGGAGTCTCACAGTCTCTCCTGCCCAGGCTGGCTTTGAACCGCGATCCTCAGATCTCAGCCTCCTGAGTAGCTAGGATTACAGGCGTGAGCCACCAGCGCCCGGCTCAGAATGAAATTCTTAAACACAGGACAAGTCACTGCCAAACATAGCTTCTGCAAAATAAAAAAGAAATGTGGCTGACTTTGTTCTAGTGTTAGTTGCTGTGACTAAATGACATAAACAACATAAGGCATGAAAGATTTATTTTGCCTCATGGATTCAGAGGTCTCAGTGCATAGTCCTTGGGCTCTGTACAGGAGATAGTCTTGAGGCCCATAGTGAGGCAGAGCATCATGGTCTTAGGAACATGTGGAGAGGCCATCCACTTCATGGTGGACAGGAAGCTGAGAGACAGAGACAGGGGCAGAGATGGAGAATCAGAGACAGAAAAGGACTAGAGACAAGATACTGGACTTCAGTGAGCTATTTCCTCCAGGTAGATCTATATCCAAAAGTTTCTAGAGCCTCCCAAAATAGCATGGCCAGATGAAAATCATCCCTTCAAATACATGAAGGGGCAGATCATTTGGTGAATCATTTCATATGCTAGTCATACCAATTCTATTCTGTTAGTCAATGTGGTAGTCATTAGCTCATGTGGCCACAAGCACTTAAATGTGGCAAGTCCAAATGGAGAAGTGTGGTTCAGTTTAATGCACACTAAATCTGAAAGACTTTGCATTGCAAAAAAGGATGCTAAAGAGCTAGTAAGAATTTTTATAGGCTTTTTTGGGTGGGGCTCAGTGGTAGAGCACTTGCCTAACATATATAAGACCTTGTTTGATTCTAAGCTCCATAAAAAATAGTTTTTATGCTGCTAATACATTGACTTGGTATCACTTTGGATATGCTAGATTAAAAAGGAGATTTAGAGGTCGGGATACCATTCAATGGCGGAGCTCTTACCTAACATACTCAAGGCTCTGGATTTGATTCCCACCACTGAAGAAAAAATAAACTAATATTAAAATTAATCTCATCTTTTTCATTTTACTTTTTATAATAATAATAATAATGTGGGTATTAGCCAGGTACCAGTGGCTCACACCTGTCATCCTAGCTACTCAGGAAGCTAAGATCTGAAGATCAAGGATCAAAGCCATCACATAGACAAATAAGGGAGACTCTTATCTCCAATTAACCAGAAAAGGCTGGAAGCAGAGGTGTGGCCTAAGTGGTAATGTGCTAGCTTTGAGCAAAATAACTAAGCAAGAGCATAAGGCTATGAATTCAAACCCCTGTATTGGCACAAAAATAATAATGGGATATTAGAAAAATGTAGACCAGGTACTGGTGGCTCTTACCTGTAATCCTAGCTTCTCAGGAGGCTGAGATCTGAGGGTCACAGTTCAAAGCTTTTCCTGGCGGGAAAGTCTGTGAGACTCATCTCCAATAAACCACCAGAAAACCGGAAATGGCACTGTGGCTCAAGTGGTAGAGCGCTACCCTTGAGCTGAAGTGCACAGGGAAGCACCCAGGCCCAGAGTTCAAGCCCCACAACCAACCAAAAAAGAAAGAAAGGAAGAAAGAAAGAAAGAAAGAAAGAAAGAAAGAAAGAAAGAAAGAAAGAAAGAAAGAAAGAAAGGGAGGGAGGGAGGGAGGGAGGAAAGAAAAGAAAAATTTAGACTATTTCATGGCTTGCATTACAATATAGTCATCTTTGCGGGAGCCCAGCTCTATCTCTGGTTGGTGCACAAAAGTGTCCTTCACCAGTCAAGTTGTTGGGACACCCTGAGCCCAAGTTCTGTCTGTAAAATGGAAAGCATGATGGGACCCCCAACATTTCACCACTGTGGGAATTAAATCAATCTAAATGAGATGGAAGGCAGCATGCCCCCCACCCCCACCCCAGCCTTAGCTTTTCGAATAATAGCTCATTTTAAGCCTTGTCTCTCTCACTGTGCAGAAGCTCTTAGCAACTCTTGCTCTAATTCATTATTAGTCCCGACGAACTTTCTGTTTTCTTGCAGTATCTATCCAATTGTGTTGTTGGGGCTTCGCTTGAAGAAATTGGAGAGGAGGAGGAAGAGGAAGATGACACCAAGTCAGCGGCCCGGGAAGCCTTTTCATTCAGACAGAGGGAGGGCACCTTCCAGATCGTGGGCACCCTGTCCAAGCCTGAAAGCCCCCGGCCAGACTTCGCTGTGGAGACGTACTCGGTAAGGCCATGACGTGGCTTCTGTCAGCACAGACGCAGGATAAACGCCCCTCCTCTCTCCAATGTCTTTCCAGTGCCTCACCACTCTGCTCTGCCCTCTTCCCTGTACTCAGGAGCATGGCAGGGCATAGGACCATAAACCATGTAGAATCCACTTTAATTTGTTGGCCAAAGCAAAGATTTTAAACAAGATATTCTTGGAAAACATAGCTGTAGACTGGACATTTGGGTTTATAAAATTCTTCTCTCTAGTGTGCTTTGTGACTATCTCACCCTGTGTGATACAGATGACTCTGGACCCTGGTGAGGGCCTTTGTCTTCTGGATCAGGAGTCATTTGGGAGTAACACACCATGTGTCTGCTTTATTAAACAACAGTCCTACCCCCACGTGATAGATTCTACATAGCCCTTACCCTGAGACACTTAAATACTCTTTGAAGTGTGTGTGCGGTGTGTTGGGGGGGGCGGTCTTCTTCCAGGCAACTCCTCCATCCACGTGTCTGCTAATCTGAGCAACCTACAGTGCAGTTCTATTCATGCTGCCCCTGGAGCAGTCTTCCTTCATCTTTGCGCAACCTTCAGCATGTAACTCATCACTCCATGAATGTGTACACTTATTAGCCAGGTACTGGTGGCTCACTCCTATAGTTGTAGCTGCTCAGGAGGCTGAGATCTGAGGATCAAGATCTCAAGTCAGTCTAAGCAGGAAAGTCTGTGAGACTCCCAACTTCAATTAATCACCAAAAAGATATATATATACATGGAGCTGTGGCTCAAGTGGTAAGGTGCCAGCCTTGAGGGGAAAAGCTAAGGGAACAGCACCGGGGCCCAGAGTTCAGGCTCCACTACCAGCACAAATACACAAAAGGAAGTCATTAAGATAAGCTTGAGCTTGAACTTCTGTATAACCAGTGCTCTTGTAAAATGGGAAATATACTCAGCCCAGTCAGATTGGCCAACATAGAGAATTCAAACAACAAAAAAATGCTGGCAGGGATGTGGGGGAAAGGAACCCTATTGCACTGCTGGTGGGAATAATAACTAGTACAATCACTCTGGAAGGCAGTTGAGAGATTCCTCAAAAACAGTAAACATAGAGCTTCCCTACCATGCAGCCATACCACTTCTGGGCATCTACTTAGAACATCATAAGTTAGTATATGGTAAAGACACCTGCACATCCATGTTCATTGCTGCACTGTTCACAATAGCCAAGTTACAGAAACAGCACGGATGCCCTACAACAGATGAATGGATCAAAAAATGTGGTACATACACACAATGGAATTTTACTCATCCATTAAAAAGAATAAGATTATGTCATTTGCAAGGAAATGGATGGACCTAGAACAAATCATATTAAGTCAGGTAAGCCAAGCTCAGAGACACAAACAGTGCATGTTTTCTCTCAAATGTGGATGGTAAATCTGAAATATAACTGGACATGAAAACCTATACAGGACTCTGATCATCCACACACAGTCAGACTAAAGGAGAACAGTCTTAGTTGTAACTCTTCTTAACAATTAAAATGCTAGCTGGGCGCTGGTGGCTCACACCTGTAATCCTAGCTACTCAGGAGGCTGAGATCTGAGGATCACAGTTCAAAGCCAGCCCGGGCAGGAAAGTCCATGAAACACTTATCTCCAATAAACCACCAGAAAAACGGAAGAGGTGCTGTAGCTCAAGTGGTAGAGCACTAGCCTGGAGCTGAAGAGCTCAGGGACAGAGCTCAGGCCCAGAGTTCAAGCCTCACAACCGACAAAAACAAACAAACATAAACAAAACAAAAAAACAATTAAAATGCTATTTATGGAAGTAAATTCCAGGAAATGGAAACATGGGTTTTGTTGGTAGTGGTAGTGGTGTTTGTTTTTGCTTTGGGATTTTTTTTTGTCCTTTTAGATGGAGAGAAGGATAAACAAATGTATTCATGGTATTCAGCAGACACTATATGGAAAGTGAACTACGTAAATTGTGGGCAGGCATGGGAGGGGGAAACTGGAAGAAAGCAAAGAAAAAGGTAAAATTGTCCAAAAAAGAATTGTACTCACTACCTGACTTATTAAATAGTTACCCTTCTGTACAACACCTTAATAATAACAAAATTATATATATATGTATATATATTTATTTATAGATGGAAATTTAGACACAACACACAGAGAAAAGCACTGCTTGATAAAAGTTTCTATTTTTAAGGCAACTGGTGAGGGAGCTCTGGGGAATTCCTGATACTCAGGACATATGCCAATTCTAGTTTGGTCCATGGGACCATCCTATGGAGAAATAGGCTGGTATCCATGCCATATGCCACATCCAACCATCACCAGTTACTTCTGTCCAGTGGGAGAAATATATATATATATATATATATATATATATACACACACACACACACACATATATATATATATTCATTCATATGACTTGAACTCTGGGTCTGAGCACTGTCCCTCAGCTCTTCAGCTCAAGGTGAGCGCTCTACCACTTGAGACACAGTACCACTTCTGATTTTCTAATGGTTTATTAGAAATAAGAGTTTCACAGCCTTTCCTGCCCCGGCTGACAGGAAAGATCCTCAGATCTCAGCCTCCTGAGTAGCTAAGATTATAGGCATGAGCCACTGGTGCCCAGCAGAACTGTATATTTTTATATCTTTTTTTTTGCCTGTCCCTGGACTTGAACTCAGGGTCTAGGCACTGTCCCTGAGCTTCTTTTGTTCAAGGCTAGCACTCTACCACTTGAGCCACAGCACCACTTCTGGCTTTTTCTGTTTATGTGGTAATGGGGAATCTAACCCAGGATTTATGCATGCTAGGCAAGCACTCTACCACTAAGCCACATTCCCAGCCCAGAAGTTTCCATATCTTGGTGGGCACTGGTGTCTTATGCCTATACCCCTGGGGACCCTCAAGGACAGGACCAGGAACTGAGTTCAAGCCCCAGGATAGGCACCTAAATAAGTTTCCGTATCTTAAAAATATTCCCTCGGGCTGAGATGTGGTTCAGTGGCAAAGCGCTTACCTAGCAAATACGATATCCTGGGTTCAATCCCCAGTACCAAAGAAGAAAAGCAAAAACAAAAGTTTAAAAAAAATTAAACACTATGTTGAAAAGAACTTTACATCTTTGGTAGTGAGGAAGGATTTGGGGAGGGGGGAGGAAAGGGATAGTAGGGGAAAAACAAAGGAGGGGGTAACTGCTCAATAGGAAATGGACCCATTACCTTGCTCATGTAACTGTAACCCCTCTATACAGTATCTTTACAATAACATATATACATAAACCAGTGCATATCTATCACAAGATGATATATAATAAAAAAAATTCCCACTGTCAAGTGTAATAAGGTCCCTTATGTCCCTAGAGAGAGCAGATTCCTCCATCTTAGGGACCTCCAGACTGTGCAGATGAATGGCTTCATAGTACTTTTTAGGGATTCGCGCTATAAAATTGTTCAAATAACCTTTCCCAGAGTTGAAGATATTTTTTTTTGTTGGTCTTGGGGCCTGAACTCTGGGCCTGGGCGCTGTCCCTCAGCTCTTTGGCTTAAGGCTAGTGCCCCACCACTTGAGCTACAGTACCCCTTCCTGTTTTGTTTCTGCTTATATGGTGCTGAGGAATCGAACCAGGGCCTCATGCATGCAAGGCAAGCACTCTACCACTGAGCCAACTTCCCAGCCCCTTGAAGTGCATTTTTTTTTTGGGGGGGGTCCAGTCTTGGGCCTGAACTCTGGGCCTGGGTGCTGTCCCTCAGCTCTTCAGCTCAAGGCTAGTGCTCTACCACTTGAGCCACAGTGCCACTTCCGGCTTTGTTTTTTCTGCTTATGTGGTGCCGAGGAATCAAACCCAGGGTCTCATGCATGCAAGGCAAGCACTCTACCACTGAGCCACCTTCCCAGCCATTGCAGTGCATTTTATTTTATTTTATTTTATTTTGATTTTGATTTTTTTGTCGGTCGTGGGGCTTGAACTCTGGGCCTGGGCACTGTCCCTCAGCTCTTCAGCTCAAGGCAAGCGCTCTACCACTTGAGCTACAGTGCCACTTCCGGTTTTCTGGTGGTTTATTGAAGATAGGAGTCTCACGGTCTCTCCTGCCCGGGCTGGCTTTGAACCGCGATCCTCAGATCTCAGCCTCCTGAGTAGCTAGGATTACAGGCGTGAGCCACCAGCGCCCGGCTGCAGTGCATTTTAAACACCTTATATTTTCTTCTAGTCCATTCTAAGTCTTCCCTTCTGAAGTAGAGTTTTATAACAGGTAGAAATAGTACCTGAGATCATTTTTGCAAGTTTATACTCTTCTGTTTCAGGTTCTTTTCACAAACTTCTTTGTTTCTACCTCAAAACGGCATGCTGATGAAAGCCAGCTAGTGATCTGAAGTAGAAATGCTCATGCAGACTGTGCTTGTGAGACTCCCCCATGGAGCACGTGGAGTGTGGAGGCTGCTGCTTTCTCTTCAAATTAGGACGACCATGTCTTGCTGCAAATGACTGCCAATTCTCTTTTCAGACCATATCTCGGGATGACCTCCTCACCCGGCTGATGGAGTGCGATGTTACCATTTATAATATCACGGAGTACTCACAGCAAATAGAAGAAGCCTTATGGGCAGTCTCTGGTCAGTGATGCACACTCCCATCTGTGTGTGTGTGTGTGTGTGTGTGTGTGTGTAAGGAAAGAACCTAAGGCTTACATCAGGCTAGCCAAGGTTGGACTACTAAACCCTAGCTCTATCCTCTAGCAACATCTGATAATGGTAAGGGATGCTATTTTTGTACAGCTACTTTACCTAAGAGTCATAGAAAAACTGATCCAAGAAATATACAAGGTATGAAATCCATACTAACGAATATGCCTGAGGAAAAACTTCTGGTTTATTTCTGTTTGTTTGTTTTGGCAGCAGTACTAGGGACTGAACTCAAGGCCTCAAGCTCTCATTGAGATTTGGTGCCCACTTCTGGTGCTCTACCACTTGAGTCAGATCTGGCAGTTTTGCTGGTTAATTGAATATAGAGACATATATACTTTTCTGCCCAGAGTTGCTTTGAACTGTGATCCTCAGATCTTACTCTCTTGATTAGCTAGGATTACAGGCTTGAGCCACCACTGCTCAACTTCCAGGTTTCTTCTGTCATTATTGTTGATGGTATTGTTTGGAGACAGAGTCTCACTGTGTATCCTAGTTGGACCTCAAACTCATGATCCTCTTGTCTTGGCCTCTTGGGTGCTAGGAGTAAAGTTTATATGTGAGGTGTACTTGGTAGGTACTTCAGATGAATGGAATATTTTCAGTCATCAAAACAAAGGGGAGCCGGGCACCGGTGGCTCATGCCTGTAATCCTAGTTACTCAGGAGGCTGAGATCTGAGGATCATGGTTCAAAGCCAGCCTGGGCAGGAAAGTCCATGAAACTCTTATCTCCAATAAACCACTGGAAAACCAGAAGTGGCACTATGGCTCAAGTGGTAAAGCGCTAGCCTTGAGCTGAAGAGCGCAGAAACAGCCCAGAGTTCAAGCCCCACAACTAACAAAAACAAAATAAAACAAAGGGCATATTACCTTTCAGAATTCCATCTTGGCCCATTCCATGGTCATTCCTTTTTTTTGGGGGGGGGGG